TTATATGCGACAATTCGAAATTAATATTTTTTATAAGACACCCGCCTAAATTGAACTGTAGCTAGGCGAAGAGATACGAAAACGAAGGGAGTTATCCCTTTAGTTAAAGCGAGACTAATTAATTTAACGTCGCCGTAAAGAAGCGTCGAATTGCGATTCGGGTCGAGGGTGCGGAGGTTGAAAAGCGGGGGATGTTTTTGCCCGACGATCCTCTCCGCGGACGCGCGGCCGAGAATTATCCTTTTAGGCGTCCTTTAATTCCATTTGTACCCGGTACTCTCTCCTGAACAAAGGCTTTTGTCAACGAGTATTACCTGGAACCCTTTGAAGTCAAATTGCCATCGAGTAATGCAATAGTTCTGTACCGCGATATGCATTACCGGCGCCGGACAGAATTATTGGAGATCGGATACAGAAAGAAAATATAATTCCCTCCGCGGATCCGCGTACGTATGAAAGCTGAGACTGAGTAAACAAGCAGATTATTACAACTGTCTTGGATCGTTTCATCGTTTCTGTATTAATCGAATGTAGATAGCATGAATAAATTTCATAGAGATCTCTTTTAATTCCATACAAGAATCAATTTATAAACAAGAGAATGTAACATTAATCCAGACACAGAATAACTAAAACTTTTAAATTCCAGCATAGTCATTCCTTATTTAAAAAGTTTACATTTCTTCGCATTATAGATTAAAATAATTAAAGAAACGAATATTATGAAATTCTCACAAAGGACTATTTAAACGCTGAGTGGATAAAAAATCACGATTACAGTTTACTGATACGTTTTGATCGTAAATTGCGTTTGAGTTTGCTACGTTCACTAAGCATTCTAGTCTTACACGGTGTATATATAGTACACAAGCGCGATTGAGTCGTCTCCGTCATCAAAGCAGCGCGTTGTTTCGTTGTTTAAGTTAAACGGATGTGGGAATAGTTAATTCGCCACATAGTTTGCGCGTGTCGCGCGCTACCCAAATCCACTGCCTACTGCCTACCCCTTTGCTCTCGCGTTGAATAGTTATTTGAGATCCTCTTGGAAGCTGATTAACAGGGAAGATCGCGTGGCTGATAATATGATTAAAATCGATTGTAGTTTGAGCATCAAGGAAGACAAAAAAATTGTTTTATAAATTGAACGCTAATTTTAAATGTAATTTAAATTAAATATAAAACAGAATGTTGTAACAGAAAGAAATTTTATATCAATTCATCAACGAACACCAATTTTAAATTTAAATACACGTAAATAGCAGTTATAACAGTTTTGCATTTGACCCTACTATTTTCACGTTACGCCTTTTTGTTCCTGTGCACTCGTTTCATTTTTGTAATCGATCCATTCCGTGGCTCATTTATTCCTCCGGGAGCGTGCCTATTCATTTTTGAAAAAGTGAGGACTCGTAATACGCATCAACGTATCAAAGCAAAGTTTTGTGAAACACTCGTTATCGATCGTGCCTAATCTGCGGAGTGCAGCGAGAAGAAAGAAAATTGTGCACGTATGTGTATGTGAGAGAAAGAGAGAGAGAGAGAGAGGGAAAGAGAGATCTAGTAAGTCGCTGTTTTTTAATTTGGACACAGCCACCACGGTTAATGACCGTTGCGCTCGGATTCGCGCGATGGCAAACTCGCCTGCGGGACACGGTAATTTTTTTGCGGGACAAAGAGTCCGGGGACGAAATCTTTTGGGGAAATGTGTGTCGCGGCCTGGACTAGCAACGAGATAAAGTAGCGTGTCTCTGTCGAAGTCGAATTTAACTGTGAAACTAAAAACAAGTTGATTTTTCTAACTCATTTTGTCTTTTATACATCGAATTTATAAGAAATAATTCGTGTGATCAAATCTGACGTCGAGAGTCTTAAAGAACTATCGTTTCAGCGAATGTGCAATTTGGATGTTATAAAAGCGGATATTTAATGCAAATCTTAATTCTGATAAATGTCTCTCAATTCCCGGGAAAGTTCGCAATTAAGGATTAAAAAACGAGCGTCGAGGGCAGTATTTTGCCTCCTTTATTCCGAAGTTCCGCGGACGTGTCAGGAAGATTACTAATTTGGAAAATCTGGACGATCGTTACCGCCTCCACGTTTGTTTGAAATTTCAGCGAAACTTTTCTCGGTAATCCTCCAAGATTTAACATTTCTCCGCTGCTGTCTGCTTTCCTATAAACCGTATCAAATGGATGACAAATCCGAAATGCGTTCCGAGTTCCTCGGAAAGAGAGGAATGAGTAAGGATAATCCTTTTTCCTCCATCTACTGCAGACACGGAATTGATATTTGGTTTCTCACTTGATATTATGTAATGCTTAATACAATTCGTATTTCATATATTTCATATATTACTTGAAGCGGTAAATGATACAATAATTAAGTTAATTATTGTTACAATAGCTGATACAGCAATTGATAGAATATATGCATAAATATACATATATAATTTTCAGCATATGCTAATCTCATATAATAATAATATTTTAAACAGCATGGGATGAGTTTTGCTCTTCACTGTAGACGAATTCTATACTATTATACTGAATATGTCCGAATAAAAACTATCGTTTAAAATGAACAGATATTTATTACTTCAGTGAAACTTTCTATGTATTTACCATCAGAAAGTGGATAAATTCCAGTATTTTATCAAATCAAAATTAGTTATCCAAAGTTCCATAGAAAAATGAATAACGCTGGCACTTCATATTGATTTTGGTCATAATTATCAGAAAAATAGTGTTTAATGATGCAAATGGGTTAATAAGTATTGAAGTAAGTGAGCGAAACTGCAAGACGTTCCGAAGAAAGACGAGCAAGATGAGAGGAAGGGTCGGGGGAGCAGACAGGAGTTGAACCGACGTAGTCACGTATAAGCAGTGATTCAGCCGGCAGCCTTCGCACCCTTCCCTCCCCCGTATTCCCGGCGGTCCTTCCTCCTTGCCCCGGCTCCAGTGGCAATCTGTTATTAAAATCAGCAACGAGAAAAATCCGTGCCGTATCTATGCGGGGCGAGCCGCGTACCGACAGACGTGTTGCGGCAAAAATTAAGCCACCTGCAAACTCTGGAAACAAAATTACCGCGGGTTGTGCGTCGACCTCGATCCGGACGATGCGATTTTTTTAATCTTTCTGGAAAATTTAAACGATTTTTTTTAATGAATTTCTTCGCGTCTCTTTGTTTGGGTATAGCAAATTGTTCTTGCACCGCCCGGAGCGTTCAAGATTTATTCTTAGAAGCTATGACTAAATTTCGCTAGAAGTTTCGTAAATTAAGAATTCATGCGAATTTCGTGCGCCGAAGTATATGTAATATGTAGGAGATTGAAGAAAAGTGAGCAGGCATTATTGCTTTCTGAAAATATTAATTCAAAATGTATAACTTGAGTCAATGATTCCTGGCTAGCTCCAGTTTTTCCTTAGGCTGATGAGATTAAAAAGAAGTAATAAGTCCATTTTTTGTTTTTTTGAATGCTCGATCTGGCATTAATGATGTTAGATTTTATATAATTTTGTCGTCTCAAAATAGATTTTAAAAAATGACAAATAATTACTGGTATAATTCTATTTTGAAATTAAATGTAAAAAAATGTTTGAGCATGTAGACACTATGTAAATGAAAATAATTAACGTTCTTCGTCTATTTATTCATTCATTTATTTAAACTTTTATTCGTTTATTTCTTTATTTACTTATTTATTGTTTATTCACTTATTGGCTTAATTAATATTTTATGAGTAGCTACTGGGTAATGAATATTGAGAGAAATTTATTTTTCTACGATATAGTGTTTGCTCATAAAATAGGTAAATATCTCTTATTCATATTTCATATCTTACATACGAAATTTGTTCAGCATTGAAAAAATAAGAAATACACTTT